AGGCGCACTATCCTTGAGGCGAGGCGATACACGGAGACTTTGAGGTATATCTGCCGCGTCCGCAGACCAGGAGTCTCTATTATGTTCCAGCCTTAGTACTTAGTTTATTCATTTTCTCTCAGTTGTTTAGATATTCTGGAGTTAGAGCAGCATACTATATTTCTGTTAGCCTGTGGTTTCCGTGAGTTTCCGGGTTTTGGGTTGAGATTTTAGACTTTCGCGATTTATTTTTGAGTTGTATATGCCAGGTGGCACTCGTTTACCGTTTTCTACTAGTTTAGCTTAATTTAATTAATTGTTTCCGCAAATTATACGCATTTCCGCATTGTTAGGCTTACCTAGTTGTAGGAACTAGGTGCCATCACGTCATGTTCATGGAGGGTGAACTAGGGTCGTGACAGTGTCACCTTGTGGGAATGTCTCAGATGTCTCCTACACTAGGGCCTTGATTATTGCATGCATCCTGGATGACATTCCTGTGAATGTTGGTTACTATATCCTGCGGTAGCTGAGAGAGTATCTGTTGGACAATGATGCAGGGTTGATGTTTCCTTCGCTGATCACGCAGTTATGCATGAGGGCAGAGGTTGAGGTGCGTAACACCGATCATTGGTTACCAGCTAATAAACCCTTTCATCCACAGAAAGTTACAGGAGAGGGTAGTGCAGTCAAAAGCAACAAAAGGAAGATCACCACTATTGCGGCCGGTCCAGAGTCATCTTCACAGGCAGCTGCACTTGAGGGACCATTTGGGGTGCTAAACTCCCAGCTTACATCTATCAGGGAGTTAGTGTCACAGCTTCCGAGTGGGCCCTCATCCTCCCAGCCTAGGTCTGCGTACTTCTCCAAGGATGACATAACGAGTTACTTAGATGCGCATAAAATTCAGGCAGAGTCTCATAAGAAGATGACAGCATCAACTGGCAGACTCGAGACAGCCTACGAAAACTTGGCCAAGGCGCATGCAGATTTCCAGTTAGACTTCCATAAGGAGAAGGAGAAGAACAAGAAGAAGAGAAAATTCATGATCAAGATGTGGAGAGGCATAAAGACCATCTTCAAATGGGGGTAGCCAGGCAATAAGATACCAGTGAGGGCTAAAGATGATAGCGAGGAGTACTCCTTCATGTCAGACGCTGCTGGTGATGGTGATGGTGATGAGGCTACGAGTTCAGCACAGCAGTGATCAGCCTTCCTCCCACGGTCTACTAGTGTGATGCAGACCTCAAGGAGACCCTCAAACTATTTGTGCTTTATTTTTGATATTGTGCTGTAAGGACACTGCAATGTTGTTAGTTGGGGGTGGCGTACATTTTGTCTATACATTGCTACTTTGACTTGTGCCCTTGCCGGGCGTATTATGTTGTATGGATATTGTGTGCCCTTGTGGGCTTGTTTTGATATTGTGTATCATGTGCTCTTGCCGAGCTTAGTGTGAGTAGCTATATATGTGCAAATTATTCACTTTTGTTGCCCTATGTTATTTTTCTTTTCTTCCTTTATGTATTCTTCTTTTAATATTAGTTGTTGTTGTTAATTATTTTTTTAGTAGTTTTCATTATTTTATTTTTTTAGTAGTATTTTCTTGAGTTTTCTTTATGCTACGTTTCTTTCCCGAGGAACATTTTTGTGTTGAACCGGGTGAGTTTTCCCTATGATGGATGGCGTGACGACTTTCTTAAGGGAATTAGTCTTGTTTTGTTATGTGGAGACTTTTGGATTATTTGGTACTAAAAGAATTAGTCTCTTGCATGTGAAATGTGAATTAAGAATACCTCTGCGAATTTTGGTTTTAAATTGAAAAAGTAAATGCATGGGAAGGAATAGTTTTTGTGATAAAGTTTGTCTCTTTTAGTGACTCTTTGCACACTAGGTGGCATGATATTGCTCTAAATTCTCTTATAAAAAAAGTAAAATTGATCCGTCTTGACTAGTTCATGTACCATGTGCGTTAGTTTTTGTTAGAAATACTTCTTGTGTTTACTTATATCATCTAGAACTTGTCGAGTTGGCCTTTCAATGCTAGTGTTAAGTTATGTTTGGTTGGACGGATGACCGTAGGCATTCTTTGTGATCTTTGAAAAAAAACCTCTTTTGCCTTTCAAGCCTACCATTGCATAAATATTATCACTAGCTTACCCCATTTGAGCCTTCAACCTTTTCTTTGGCCACATCATTACAAACCTTTACCCTTTTGTGAAATAATTTCATCTTTTGAACCCGTCCCTCCTTGAATATTGAGAATGAGGCTAAAAGCCGAAGTTGGGGGTGTTGGAGTCAAAGTAAAAATTGGTAAAGTTGTACATTGAGGTGTAATTACTCAAGCTCCAACGAAGTAGTTATAAAAATAAAAAAAAAATAAAAAATATGTGTTTATAAATATGGAGCCTTGAGAAAATTAGAGAGGAACTTCAAGGTGGTTCTATGTTGGTAACTAGATGCCAATAAAGGCTATTTGGTTTGGTTTAAAAAGAAGCAAAATACAAAAAGAAAGACAAATATGAGTAGTGTTCAAGGAGGGTGTAGCCACTTGTATCCTAAATGCTTATCCTACCCTTTCCTAAACCTACATTACAAGCTTAAAAAGTCCTTATGGGATCTCCAACCGAATGTTCTTGAATAGGCGGCGAATTAAAATAAGGGCAAGCTTATGGCATGATATTTTGTAACACTTGAAATTCTTTGTTGAGAGTGAGCGTCTTTGTGCATTTGTCCCTTGTGTTATAATTGTAAATATGGTGATCTTGGAACTTTCTTTCTTGTGAGGTCACATGAATTAGGATGGATTGGTAACATTGTTGTATCCGGAAATGAGTAAATGGAGCATATGTAGTAGACTAGTGCTCTTGAGTCACTTCTTGAGGCTTTTTGTTGTCACTTGATTACTTGAAAAATCCTTTGCATTTCTTGAAAGTGTTTTTAAATGAGGGGTTATTTGGTTAAGATTCGCGTGCTTGAGACTAATTATTAGTACCAACTAAATCCATTAGTATGGTGCTTAATTGGAGAATGTGATTTGTAAATAATAGCAATATTACTTGTGCTTTAAATGGTAGAGCCTCATTGAATTGTTGGTTTTGATTTTCTTGAGGACAAGCAAAAGCTTTAAGTTGGGGGTGTTGATGAGTGTTGATTTTACCACTCATTCTAGTCTCTTTTCTTTAGTTTCTATGTCCTTTAACTATAATATGAGGTCGGTTATGGTGTGTATTGTTAGATTTTCAGGTAAATGATGCCATGAAGTGATTTGAATTTCAGTTGGAGTGGAACTGAGCAAAAAGGGGTGGAAGCAATGCAAAACTCTCCTATGATTCCTCATCTGTGGAAGATTGGTCGCAGAAGCGACCCCACTTCTGCGTAAATAGGCCCGCATCTGCGAAGATGAGTGATTTTGCAAGAAACCGCATCTGCACTCAAATTACCTCTTCTGCGGTTGCGCATCTGCGCTGTGTAGCCCGCACTGCAATTCCATAAGTTTGTGTGATGTTTCTCTTCTGCGATAAGATTTACGCTTATGCGTAGACGAACCTGCGAGAATTCTTCCGCAGGTGCGGTCAACGGGCATCAGAACTGGGCTGGATTGACATTTCTCATTTTCTCAATTTCAAACCCACAAATACTCGACCTAGAAGATCTTTAAAAAATATTTGGCTTATTTTCAGTCTCAAACACTAGAGAGAACAAGGTTGAAAGCTAGGGTTTGCGCACACACTTTGGTCTTGAAGATTTGAAGCTTTTGGTTGAGAATTTCTTACCCATTTATGTTTATTTCTTCATTTCCTTGCTTTGTATTATTTATCTAAGTGTGTACTATTTTATCCAACACTTGAATCTTGTTTATGGGAATATTCATATTTAAAGTGTGGATTAAATACCTTGTTGTGCTTATGTATTGAATGATTTTTATCCTTTTATGAAGTGAATTGTTGTTACTTTAATTATTCTTGTTTTTTAATGTTCCAAAGGGATTATCTAACCCTAGGACTCGCCCAGTAACTCCGAATTAATTTTGGGAAAGATTATTTGGGGTTGGGAAAGATTAATTAACAAGAACTTTAGGCTTTAACCCTCATTTTATAGATTCTACCTAGGGATAGGATTGAACTACTTGTAGCCATATCCGGGTGTGCTTAATCTCTTAAATGTTTTAGGGACAATTCAATTAGAAAGTCTTGTTAGTCTTTGGAAGAAGCTAATATAAAATTATTACCCGTGGTTAATTAACATAAACTCGCTCATATTTGTAAAATCATGAAATACATTGGATCGTTACTTGAGTGTAATTCCAAATGCATTCATACTTGTAGCCATTGATCATTTTACTTGCTTTCTAGGTTAGTTTACATTTCAGCAATTATGTATTAATATTTTCTCAAATCAATTCTAAGTGTTTGGTACTTCATAACAAGTGATAATTCTCTTACATTCCTAATCACCTATATATTGTTCTCTATGGGATTCGATCCCGTCTCATAATTGGGTAAATTATATTGCATGCGACCGTGTCCATTTACGTTTTAGTAGTGGATTTGGACGTCATCATACGTACATATTACCCTACTCAGACCCCTCAGGAGAGAATGCACCAAATATTTTGTTGTTTTTGTTGTACTTGTATAAATTTGGTTAGAGTGCATCCAACTCTGCTTCTAATTGGCTTAGAAAATAATTAGATATTGGTGTAGTTATGACGAGTAGAGTATATCAGATTACAGGTCATATGTCAGGACAAGAGATGTGCAAATAACTTTCACAATTGATTAATTAATTAAGAAGATTAAAATGATAATGGGCATTAAAAAAAATCAGAAGTCAATGAATTATATTTTAATATTATCTTGGAATTGTCAATCATGATCTAGCTAATTGATTCTTTTTTTTTTTTTTCTGTCGGTGGGTTTTCATGGTTAATTCAAGAAAACAGCCTGCTGCTGACACCCTACTAATATATATGAAAACGAGTAGAGTATGTTAGGTTACAGGTCAAATGTCAAGATCCAATAGACGTGCAGATAATTTTCATAATCTATTAAGAAGACTAAGATGATAATGTGTATTAAACAAACTTCAGAAGTCAATGATAATTTGTTTCTGTTAGTGGCATTTTAAGTTCTTCTGTCGAATTACTTGATCAACTTCTCTCATAAATATTTCTGAATCCCATCTTCAGCCAATTGCCACTATTCAAAATTTCAAAATTATTAATCAAACCTGAGAAGTTGAAATAGTTTCTTGTATTCTTCCATCAGATCCTGAGAACTTGAAAGGAAAGGGAAGGAGAAGTTGGTTTGGCACTGACTAGTGAAAGTTACAATCATGGAAAGAGCAAAAGACATCGAAGGAGAAAGAGAGAAAGGGAAAGCAATCAAATCATCGGTATGTCATATAATATATTATCATACGTTTTTCTTTGTCTTACTCAGTTCGCTAGCTGTATTAATATAATATCCTTTTATTCATTGATTGATATTACTACCTAGAGTTTAATCGCTTTCTTGGCTTCATTCTTGTTTTTATTTTGTTATTGTTCCTATTGTTGGTATTACTTTTTTCATCCGTTCTCTAGCCGAGGGTCTATCGAAAATAGTCTCTCTGCCTTCCAGGGTAAGGGTAAGTTGCGTACATCTTACCCTCCCAGATCCCACTTGTGAGAAATTACTGGATTTATTGTTGTTGTTGTTGTATTAGACCTTATACTGTCTTGATGATTATTCAATAATCCTCAAAATAATGTTATACAAATGTTTTAAAGAGTTGTTCTCCTAAAGTTCATAGTCTGGCAATGGCATCTTTTAATTAGTGGAATATTAATTTTCATTTGCTAAGACGTAGAGGCAATAATTAGGTCAAGATCCTAAGTAAGTTACATGGTTTAGAACATTAATTTAACATCTAGATGATATTTTACTAGACATTTGTTCTTACTAATTGGCAGTAATAAATAAGCATACCATGCACATGCTAGAATTACTTAGTTAACTCATCTTTCTTTTGTTTGTAACACAAAAACCACTTAACTATACCTATATCACTCAGAAAGTTACTCAACCATATTTCTCAAACTTTCCGGGGCCAAGTTCTTATGTTACCCTCTAAATTATCCACCTTTATCTTCTTCTTTATTTTTTTTTTTTTTTTACTTTTTTTAATAATATAGTGATATTATTTCTTTCTCTTTTTATCTATATTATGTACTTATCTATAAGAAAAATAAATTTTGTTTATAAAGTAAAAAGGTGAAAAGAATTTTACAAGAATATAGAATGTTGGAATAATATAATAATTGAGCATAATTTTCAATCATATATAATGTATTTTATAAAATATATTTTTAAAATTATTATTTTTATTACATGCATCGAATATATGTTTTAAATGCTTTAATTATAAATAAGATTTATTTGTTCTTAACTTATTATATACAGATTAGAAGAGAAAAAAGTATCACAATACTCCCTTCTTTTCATATTAGATGAGGTACTTTCTTTTTTAGTCTGTTCCAAAACAAATGACACATTTCTAGATTTGGAAATAATTCAACTTTAAACTCTTTCATTTTACCCATTTACCTTTAATAAGAAGCTTTTATAGCCACACAAATATTATGGCCCCATAAACTTTTTACCCCTTAAGCTTTTAAGACCACAAGTTTCAAAAGTCTTCTTCTTTTTTCTTAAACTCCGTACCGAGTCGAACTATCTCATCTAATATGAAACGGACGGAGTATTAAAGAAGTAAAAAAGGAGGCAAAGGTTGATGATTTAGAGGGTAAAAAAGTTATCTTGCCACCAAAAAGTTTGAGCAATCTGGTTGATTGATTTTTTTTTTTAGTACTATAAGCATAGTTAAATATCTTTTTGTTACAATGCTCCTTTGAAAATATTTTTGATGATAATAGGATTCTCAACAGTAGTTTCACTTGCCTAAAATGCAAGTAAGTTAATCTATTTTTTGTGTTTAGTTTTATTGGTTAAAACATAAATACTGAACAACTAGCGTTGCAATTTGGTGTCTATAATAAATATATTTACTCGTGATCTTCAGAGGTCCATAAAGATCCATAAGGAACAAAACCACTAGTGATACTGACAATTTTCTTGAACTTAAAAGAAGACCTTATGTGTTTACCTTTGACATATGCCTCACAGATTTTTTATCTTTAAACTTCAGAATAGGCAGTCCTGCCACTAAGTTCTTAGAGACTAACTTGTTCAGTTGTAACAAACTGGCATGACCTAATCGTTTTGTGCCAAAGTATGGGATCATCATCATCATGTACACTAAGAAAGTTAGTTCATTCTTAGTAGTGAAAGAATACATAATTTATAAACGTTTTTGTCCCTCTTATCTTTTAAAAATAATTCACCAGATTTATTGTTCACAATGTTGCAACCATCTGTTGAAGATTCAACCTTATTGCTACTATCGCATAGTTGTGAAATACTGAGTAGATTGTGTTCGACCATCAACTAAATAAACATTATTTTAGGAGTGGCAATTTGAGCCCAAACTCATTTGACCCGTTCAAGGTTGGGCTGGTCATTGACCTGCCCATTTGTTGTACTCAGTCCATCTTAACCCAAGCTATTTCAGTCCATTTAAAGTTGGACTAATTTTTAGCACAAATTGATTCATGAGTAATTTTGTTATATTAACTTAAAAATAAATTATTATTATTTTAATATATTATATATGACCATAGCAAATGAAAAAAACATCTTATTTAATAATTAAATAATTCATAAGAAAATAATACACATTAATTAAAGCTTGATAAGAGTTGAGCGGGTTGGGCTATGATCCAAACTTTAGCCCATTTTGACTCAGCCCATCTCGGTCCAAGTTACTTTTGGACGGATCAATGACCTACCCGTTTATTGACTCAACTCATTTTAACCCGCCCAATTTCAGCCCAACCTGCCTATTTGACACTCATACATTATCTATAACTCGGGATAATGACTTAACCAATTTTACGTGGGCCAAATATTTAACCTTTCTACCATCACGAAATGTCATTCTGTTTCTACCTTTCTACCTAGGCACTGGACCGAGATACAACATTATATTTCTTACTTCTCCATGATATCAAGTTTCTACCGACAAATACACAGTAACCAGTAGTAGATTTTCTATCAATCTTGTATCCATCCCAATCCGCATATGCAAAATAATCAATGCGAGAATGCCCGTGATTGCTATATAATATGCCAATTCCAGGAGCTCCTTTTAAGTAAAATAGGATCTGCGCCAAAGCCTCCCAATGTTTAATTGTAGGCGCGGACATGAACTGGCTAATCATACTTACTGCAAAAGCAATATCTGGACGAGTCATAGTGAAATATTTTAATCTCCCAACTAACCTCATGTATCTATATATTTGGATCATTAAATGGATCGCCATCATCTTTCATAAGATGCAAATTAGGAACTATTGGAGTACTGCAAGGCTTGGCAGCCAACTTACCAGTTTCTGCCAGTAGGTCAAGAATATACTTTCTCTAAGATAGAAAAATCCCCTTCTTGCTACTAGTTACTTGTACTCCTAAGAAATATTTCAGTTGTCCCAAGTCTTTCGTATGAAACTTAGTATGCAAGAAAGACGTGATAGAAGAGATTCATGATAATCTGTTCCTGTAATAACAATATCATCAATATATACAACAAGGAGAAAGATCCAGGTGTTGATTGCCTGTAGAAGATTCAATGATCACATTTGCTCCTTTTCAGCCCAAATTCTTGAACTACCTTACTAAATTTACCAAACGAAGTTTGTGGACTCTACTTCAAGCCATATAAGGACTTCTTGAAATGACAAACCTTCTCATACTTCCCCTTAGCAACAAAACCAGGCGGTTGCTCCATATACACATCTTCATGAAATCACCATAAAGAAATGCATTCTTAATATCCAATTGATACGAAGGACAATTCTCAGTAGTTGATAGAGAAATGAACAAGCGTACAGAAGTAAGTTTGGCAACTGGAGAGAAGGTGTTTGAATAATTCACTCCATAAGTCTGAGCATACCCTTTGGCCACAAGTCTCGCCTTAAGCCTCTCCACAGAACCATCTAGATTAACTTTGACCGTGAAGACCCATTTGCATCCCACAACTTTCTTTCCACTAGGTAAATTCACTAAATCTCAAGTATAGTTTTCCTCTAAGGCATGTATTTCCTCAAGCATTGCTTCAGACCATCCAGGATGGTTCAAAGCCTTTTTCACCATTTTGTGTATAGAAATGGAGTCTAGAGACACAATCAAAGATATAGACGTAGGGGAAGTGGTCGTAGGAAACAAAACTAGAAATTGAATATGTGGATTTGCAAATACCTGTACCTTTGCGTGAAGCAATGGGAAGGGCAAAGTCTTCTGGAGGATCAGGCGAAGAGGATCAGATGACGAAGGAACTGGTGCAGGACATATATCATTTATCTCTCACTTCCGCGAGTAAACTTGAACAATTTGTGGTCTTGCTTACACAGTTGGAGCAGGTGCTGAAGGCACAATAGTCTATTGGTGCTCGATAGTAGATCTAGGAGATGGAGGAACATCATCTAATTGTTTTGTCAAAGTACGGGTAACCTGTTATACTAGTCACTCATCTCCCCCCCCCCCCTCCCGACTTGTAGAAACAAGAGGTGTAGAGAAGAATGGTCTAGTCTCTGAAAACACTACATCAGTTGACACCAGATATTTGCCAAGTTCAGCAGAATAAGAGCTTAAGTATTTTGTCACTTTTGTAGATAATTTTTCCCGAATGACTTGGATGTACTTTATGAATAGGCACTATGAAGTGTTTACTCACTTTTTTGCCTTCTGTGCTAAATTCAAAACTCAATTTAATGCTTCAGTGCATATTCTATGGAGTGATAATGCTAAAGAGTACATGTCAAAGTTATTTCGGTCTTACATGAGACAATATGGTGTACTATATTAGTCTTCATGTGTTGATACACCCTCTCAAAATGGAGTTGCTGAGAGGAAGAATAGGCATCTACTTGAGACAGCTTGGGCACTTTTGTTTCAAATGAAGGTTCCTATACAGTTCTTGGCTGATGCGATCTCCATGATTTTTTTTTATTAATCACAGGCCATCTACTATACTTGGTGCTAATATGCCTTACAATGTTCTTTTTTTCAAACAAGTCATTATTTCCCGTAGTGCCTAAGGTGTTTGGAAGCACATGTTATGTTCGAGATGTTCGACCATCTGTTACCAAGTTAGATCCCAAGGCATTGAAATGTGTTTTTCTTGATTATTCTCACCTTTAGAAGGGGTATCAGTGTTTCGATGATGTTTTGCAAATTAACATGACTCACAATCCAATGAAGAAATATTCTGAAACTAAGGACAGAGCTTCTTCAATAAAGCTAGAAAAAATATTTAGATTACCTGTCATGTGATTTGTGGCATATGAATCAATCACCCATTTATTTGAAGAGGTTATAATATATGTCTTATTTGACTCAGCAAAAGCTTTAACCGGAGAAGATTCCTTAATTGATTTATGATATTGAAGGAACTCAAGAAACTCATCTGAAACCAAGATTGTTGGACTAGGAATTGTAGCATTATTTCTCCTTGCTTACTGTTTATAGTCATTCTATTTCCAACTAATAAAACTCACTGTATTCAAATAAGTGATGCGGAATCCAGCAAAAAGACCCAAACTGACTATATTCAAAAGCAGAAATCAGACAATAATTGAAAAACACAGTATCCAACATAATCAAAAGCTTGAGAATAGCCAAACTCAAAGTTGCACTCCAAAAGATAACTTTGGAAATCTAACCAAGCTTCGGATAACCTCCAAGAGACAATATCAAATCACAAATTAGTGAGGAACAATCCAGTTAACGGCTGCATCGTAGGAAATGTCAAAAAATTCCCAGAGTCAAAGAACAATCAGCAGCTAATAGAAAAGTCTCAAACTTGACCAAAAAAGAGTGTTCACATATTCCCGTTTCAAGGCTCTTCTTCTCCAAAATATGGTCCTATCACCACACGACCCAAAATTCAACCAAAACTTCGGGGCAAAGTCGTAACAGGAAGCCAGACGAAGATTGGTTCACAAACACGCCTCCACACACGGCTTAAATAGGAGTATCTCCGGCTATTTCGTCGGCGCGTGAGACGCACATGCTTCTCCTGCGACCATCAGATTTTGGGATTTTGTCGATCCGAGGGAGGTTGTCCTCCCTATTTTGGTGGCAGCTACTATACTTTAGGTTCAAAACCTTTTCAAGTATAGTGACCCAACTTTGGCGAGTTCCGGGGAGTTTGTGATCTAACTCCGACAAAGCAGGATATCCTGCTCTGATACCATGTGCATGGAATGGAGAGAATAACTTGTGTTATCATTCCAAATGGTAAGCAATATAAATACATATATATCAGGTGCTAACTAAGGAAAAAAATAAAAGAGATTCCTATAAATCTGTTATTTATGTACACTACTAAGAAAGAGTCTACATTCACTCTATAACAAATTACAAGTTAGCAGGGCAAGATCTCCTTCATCCAAGTCTAAATTATCAGCTTCGACTGCCTATAAAACTAATCCTTTATCCTTCTCCAGTTCTTCCTAAACTTGAGAATTCTTTATACCTTCCTAGCTAGCTCCTTAGAGGTGAATACCTTTATAAGTGACTTGAGCCCATATGATATGTGTGAACCTATTGTGCATATCCTTTATTGACTCTTTGTTCTTCATAACAAACAACCCATATTGTCTCATAAAAGTCTAATTTTAGACTCTGACAGAGTCAGAAGCTGCCTTAACACGGTCACATCCAAAGATTCTTTTGTACTCATAAGGACCTACTCCACAAGTGAGTATCCTGATTGGCTTAGCATTCTTCTCAAGCATCTTGAGGTCTTCAGCACCAAGTTCAACATTAGTCTTAGGAACATTTTCTCCTTTCTCATAATTTTTGGTAGGAATTGGAGGACCATTAGTAACAATCTGCCCCATCTGACAGTTTTCAGCTTTTAAGAAATTTTTCGTACATGATTCCACCAACTATAGTGTTGGCCATTGAACGAAGGGGGTCGGGTAATGGATTGTCCATCAAGCATGCCGTGTGGTGTACTCATGTTGGATCTCTCAAGGTGTTAGCCGATGAGTGGGAAATCAAATTTGATCTGATACTTGTTGTTATTTTATACGCTTACATGATACTAGAGGGGTGAATTGGATCTTTCAAATTTTTGCACTAACTTCAAATTTGCCAACTTATTAATGAACCTGCAGAAATAGCAAATGAACCTGGTTCTGAGTTGTTTCTTGCTAATTGACTGCAAGTATTATAATGCGAATAAGAATAATGAACACACGATTTTACGTGGGAAACTACCCAACTCAAAAGGTGTAAAAATCACAACCTACCCCGGTGGGATTTCAACTAACTCTTCACTAAAACACCGAGCCAAATTCATATTACATTCATAACTTAAAAGCTTAATTACCTCTAAGACCTTTACCTGAACAATCACTCAATTGTTCGCTTACAAGTTAACTCTAACTTGAAACCAATTGTTCTCTCGAAATAAACTTTCCAAATTGCTTCTCCAATAAGCGGAAAAGGGTTACAACTTGATAGACCAATTCAAGAAACTAGAACAGGATGCAACACATCCTCATACTTCAATGAGGAACACTTGCCCAACTTGATTCTCTGCACGATCCTTTGTCTTCAATTCAATCAGCTGTTGAATGCTTCAATTTGCTCTCTATTGGTGAAGAATATTGGAAGTGTATAACTTGTCTTAAATATATTTAGGTAGACCACAGCAGTAGCATAAGTAGTATGTATTCCAAATAACATGGAGTATATATAAGTAGGCCACAACAGTAGCATAAGTAGTATGTAGTCCAATCAAACATGGACATTAAAGATCTTATTCGAAAAGGAATGGAGTACCGCAGTAGTTTCATAGTGCCATGGTGATCTATGTTGCTCAGACTCTCCGAAAATGTCGCCGGGTACGTGTCGGATCCTCCAAAAGTAGTGCATTTTTAGAGGAACTGACACGGGTGCGATAATATTTCAGAGAGTCCGCTCAACATAGATGGTGATCGTAAAACACACAAGGTTGATTCACCACCAAATCTAATCCTAAAAACAAAAAGGCCCTTCTAAAGAAGTGTGTGTGTACTATATATATATTAAAGAGAGATTCATTTAAGGACATCTTGGCACACAAGAAAACACTCTTTTTTAAAATAAATTACAAACAGGATAAACAAGAGAGGGGGGCTATACTTGACCTCTTGAAATGCTAACTGATTAGCGCCTTTAATGCCCACTATCCAATACGGCACTATCTTAACCTATATGGCCATCTCCTTATCCTCCTATAAAGATTTGTTTGTCTCCTAGAACCCCTTGAACCAAGGTATTTATAACCTACATCAAAATCCATGGAACTGAAATGAGAAAAAGATAAAGAGAAGCCATGGAACTGATCTTAAAGATTAAAAAAAAAAAAAAAAAGTAATAGAGCAAGGAAACATAAAGTCTATCCATCATTCATGAGCATTCTCAATAAGAGAAGTCGGATCGAATCGGATATAGTGTAGAGTTAACCATCTTGCTCAAACATTCATGCTTTGTGATGTAACAAGTTGTAACTATTTTACAGAAAACTCTCTACACCTATTCTTTTAATTTCCTATATAGTGTAAAATATTGCATGATAGATACATGTGGCTTTGAAATTTGACATAACATATGGTGTTTTGACAGGTGTCATTTTCTGCTCTTTGCGAGGACATTGTCTATGTTCTGGATTTCATAGAGAGCTTAAAGAATGAAGAATATCAAAAACCTCTTGCCGTGGATCTAATTGAAAAGCTGAAATTGGAGCTGGCATTTATTTCTATATATGTCCAGCTTTCTTATTCCGATTTGGAAGATTTTGAAGATATAATGACTAGCAAAAGACAAGATGTTGCAGATCTGCTTAAATCAATTTTGGATCATTTTGACTACCAAGTGCGGTTTAAATACGACATGCATCGCGTCGTTCCTCGCCTCGTAGATGGAATGAAATATTTTATCAGGTCACATCATCATTCTAAACCAACTGTCACCATGACAGAGGAGCAGATGGACTTCCTGCTCCTGAATCTCCATCATCTATCCAAGTATCGTTCTGAACAGATTTTTCCATTAGTGACTCAATATGAGATTCTTAAGAATGTATGTGTCAACATAAAAGATTTTCATGGGTTGAAAATGAATGGTTGCGTTGAGCCTGAGATTGTTGAATATGTCTTACCTCAGTTTCAACTAATGGCTGAGAGAGTAGGACATTTCCTTTGGGATGATCAGATTGATGAAGATTCTCGACTCTTCAAGCTAGCACATCTATTCTTGAAGATTATTCCAATTGAACTGGAGGTTATGCACATAACCTATACAAATTTAAAAGATTCAAAGTCAACAGAAGTTGAACGCTTCATTAAGCAGCTCCTAGAAACCTCTCCGAACATACTTAGAGAATATCTGATTCATCTACAAGAGCACATGGTAAATGTTATTACCGTTAGCACTTCAGGGGCCAGAAACATTCATGTCATGATAGAGTTCCTATTAATTATTCTTACTGATGTTCCCATGGACATTATTCTTCATGACAAATTACTTGATCTCCTGGCATGCGTCGGAGAACTAACAAGGGAAGTATCGACTCTTGTTCGTGACCTAGAAGAAAAACCAAGAAATGAAGAGAGCTCTTGTGGAAAATACCACGCAACTTCAGACTTGCCGCAAAATATTGAACACCTGAAGAGAGATCTCAAATGTGTTTACTTAAAAGCACCAGACTCATCTGAACTCCGCTTCCCCATGAGTGATGGACCCCTCTTCATGCATCTTTTACTCAGACACTTAAATAACTTGCTAGATTCTAATGCATATTCAGTTGCTTTGATAAATGAAGAAATTGGGGTGGTGAAAATAGACCTTGAATTCATAAGATCTTTCTTCGTGAATGTTGAGCAAGAATTGTATAAAGATCTTTGGGCACGTGTTTTAGATGTGGCATATGAGGCTAAAGATGTCATTGATTCAATTATTGTAAGAGATAATGGTCTTTTACATCTTATTTTCTCACTACCCCTTGCTATAGAAAAGATCAAGCTTATCAAAGAAGAGGTCTCCAATTTACTTGAGAAGATTCCCAAGAATAGGAGCCTCATTTTTGCCAACTTTCCCAACAAGCCAGTTGAAAGCAAGTCATCAAAAGCTGAGAAAATAATTGTAGGGTTTGAGGAGGAGACGAACATGATAATTAGGAAGCTTACCGGTGGACAGGTAGAGCTAGATGTCATTTCGATCACTGGTATGGCGGGTTCTGGAAAAACTACTTTGGCATATAAAATATACAATGACAAGTCAGTTTTAAGTCATTTCGACATTCACGCATGGTGCACAGTCGACCAAGAATATGATGAGAAGAACTTGTTGGAGAAACTTTTTAAACAAGTTACTGGCTCGAATTCGACTTTTGATGTTGCTGATGAGCTACGGAAACATCTGTTTGGAAAAAGGTACCTTATAGTCTTAGATGACTTGTGGGATACTACAGCATGGGATGAGTTAACAAGACCTTTTCCTAAAGTTGAGAAAGGAAGTAGAATTATTTTGACGAGTCGGGATAAGAAAATAGCTTTGCACGCACAATGCCACAGTGATCCTCTTGATCTTCGATTGCTAAGACCCGAAGAAAGTTGGGAGTTATTAGAGAAAAAGGTCTTTGGAAAAGAATGTTGCCCTGATGAACTATTGGATATTGGAAAAGAAATAGTCCAAAATTGTAAAGGGCTTCCTTTGGTGGCTGATCTGATTGCTGGAGTCATAGCGAGGAAGGAAAGGAAAAGAACTGTGTGGCTTGAAATTCGAAATAATTTGCATTCCTTTATTTTCAATAATGAATTGGAAGTGATGAAGATTATAGGACTAAGTTATGACCATTTGCCAGATCCCGTAAAGCCGTGCTTACTATACCTTGTAAGTTATCCAAGGGACAAAGCAATTTCCGTCAATGTTTTGAAAGATTATTGGTGTGCCGAAGGATTTGCGGAACAGACAAAAATGAACAGTGTGGAAGAAGTGATGGAGGATTATTTGGATAGTTTAATTTCCAGTAGCTTGGTAATTCATTTTAATGAGATAGGTAGAGACCGGACTTGCCAACTTCATGATCTTGTGCATGAATTTTGTGTGATAAAAGCAAGAGAGGAAAAATTTTCTGACTTGATAACTTCAAGTGCTCCATCATTTTCGTCAGATTTGATGCCACGTCACATAACCCTTTCTTATGCTAAGAAGCGCTTTGGGCATAACAAAATTGTCCTGTTGGATTCAAAAAAGAAATGGTATTCTGGTAAACACCTCTATTCTTTGGGCATATCTGCAAACAAGCTGGACGATCGTATTTCTGATATATGTCACCTAAGACATTTGAGGCTTCTTAGAGTGTTGATCCTGGATAACGAATTTATAAAGGTGAAAGATTCTTTGCTGAATGAAATATGCTCCTTGACTCACTTGAGGTACTTAAACATTCACACAAAAGTGAAATCTCTGCCTTTGTCTTTCTCAAACCTCTGGAATCTAGAAACTCTGGACGTGCAAAACGACGGACCACCCTTGGTACTACTACCGATAATTTGGAATCTTGTAAAGTTGCGAGTCTTGGCCATAATTACATGTTCTTTCTTTGATTTGGATAATGATGAACCAATACTGATAGCAGAGAACTCAAAGTTAGACAACTTGAAAATATTAGAGGTACTCGATCTTTCCTATTCGAAAGACACGGAGGATATTTTCAAAAGTTTTCCCAATCTTCAACATCTTAATTTTAATCTCAACAAATCATGGGATTGTTCAACTGAGCAATATTGGTTCCCAAATTTGGACTTCCTAAATAAGCTAGAAATCCTCAAAGTAACTTCTGAAAGTTCAAATTCAAATCTGCTGTGGGATTTTCGCTTCCCTTCGAGTTTGAAAGAATTGTGGTTGCGTAAGTTTTCTCTGACATCCGATTCACTATCAACAATAGCGAGACTGCCCAACCTTGAAGTGTTGTTTCTTTGTCGCCTAATCATCCAGGGAGGAGAATGGAACATGGGGGTGGAAGACACCTTTGAGAATCTCAAATGTTTGATGTTGGAGCGAGTGAATCTTGTTAAGTGGGAGGTTAGAGAGGAATCCTTTCCCGTGCTTGAGAAATTAGAACTGTGGGAATGTCTTAAGCTTGAGGAGATTCCGCTTAGTTTTGGGGATATTTGTTCACTAAAGTTTATCGATGTGTTGGAGAGCCCTCAACTTGAAGAATCCGCTTTGGAGATTAAGAAATATGTTGAAGAAATGATGGGAGAAGACAAGCTTCAGGTCAGGGGCCTGAGTGAGTCCTGAACGCTCTAACTGTGGGAAAATATGTGAGTATAGACAAATTTATTACCTCATCCATTTCATTTATGTGGCGGAGTTTGACCAATATAATTTTCTTTGCAGAGAGCATGTAAGGAATACATCCAGCTTTGGAGGTTTGCATATCATATGTTACTCCTCAAGTCCAGATACTTGAGGGAGTAATATATACTACATTAAGTCCATTAAAGAGAGGTTTGCTGTTTCATTTGGCGATTTTGTCAACTATTCTTTAGGTGCATGCCATGATCAACTGAATGCTTGCATATATTGTATCACATATATACCAATTTCATTTTTGGCAGTGCTCCTCCGCTAGCTTTGGTTTTTTAGATTCTTACTACATTTGCTCCATTTTATCTCACCTAGGAGTGGAACGATTTGTAGTGTTTTAGGTTACAGTAGTAGATACTCTCTTGAACTGTAGCTTTTCTTGTTTTGCCAGAACGAAATTTGACTGCTTGCTTTTCTGGACCAAAAGGAATAGGAGTAATACTGTTTGATCTTGACTTATCTCTGAAAAAATAAACAAGGCCACACGTGCATATTAAAGGCGAGTTTGGATTCTGTATGGCACAGTAAGATCCACTTTTGCAAAGAGAAATAGTTTTGTCACTTGTGTTGCCAAAATTTGGATGATCTTTCTCAACGTTGGCCGACTTCTATACCTTTTTTGTACGCAGATCGAAATATATCAATATCTACTTGATGACGTTATCGTGATATAAAGAAGTAAATGTATAAACAAGTCACATGAATTTAACATTATATATATATATATATATATATATATATATATATATATATATATATATATTTTTAACTTACTAGTAACTACATCGGATAATTTTCAGATGAAATGTCAACTGACTCTCATTGATCTAGAGTAGCTCCCCCACTGTGTAACCAGTGTGTTAGTGTGACAATGGAGTCCAAAGGAAAAGACAGATTACTTTGCTTTGCCACTGTGCTTGTTCTCCGTGGTAAGTTTTGAGTTTAAGAAATGGGAAATTATCAAGGTTACCCTTTCTGAGTACTTTTGTCCTTACAGGTAAAAAAGTTTTAATCCTGCATCTGATTGTGACTGCAGGTGCTAGATTATATTGAAAACATATACCGGTCTTCATGAGATTGCTAACTCTTGTAAGAACTTAGGGTATTTCCTTCCAAGCCAAATGCATGCGCAAGAACCGAATGTATCCTTGACAGAGCAAGGCCGTGTAGCTGTCTGAGCTGGCTTCCCTAAGCTCCACTCAGTTCTATACTTCTGTCGCCAAATGACAAGTGCCAACTTGGTTACTATTGCAAGGAACCGTCCTATCTTGATCAGACTACCTTTGTGTATAATCAAGCCTCAAACTCCTGATTATCTAGCCCTTGGACCGCTCGGTGCTGGTTTTGGAGCCATCATGCAACACTGCAAGGGATTGTGGCGACTTTTGCTTTCTGGCCTCCTTATGGATCTCGTGGTCGAGTACATCGAGGCCCATGCTAAGAAGCTAGAGATGCTCTCCGCAACTTTTGGAGGGGATAGTGATCTAGGCCTCTACTACGTGCTCTCCGGTTGTGAAAGCCTCCATAAGTTGGAGGTCAGGGACTGCCCCATTGGTGACAAGTCTAAAAACATCATAGAACTACGAATTGAACACCAAATCAAATGAAACCAAAAGTGCACACAAGTCTAAAAACATCATACGAACTTGCTCGCGCAATCAAATCGCCAACATAACACCTGGAACTAAGAATTAAACACCAAATCAAATGAAATTTTCAAGAAAATTTTGAAACTTCTATTTTCACGGCCGGACGTCCAAATCACGTCAAACCAACTCCGTTTCTCACCAAATTTCACAAACAAGTCATAAATGTGGTATTGGACCTATATCGGGTTCCGGAACTAAAATACGGACCCGATATCCAAAAAGTCAACTATTGGTCAAAAACTTCAAATACATTAAGCCTTTAACTTTAAAATTTCAACAAAGTCCGATAACTTGGCTAGGGATTTTCGAATTCAATTCCGAGCATACGCCCAAGTCCCAAATCACGATACGGACTCTCCGGGACCTTAAAAACACGAGTCCGGGTCCGTTTGCTCAAAACGTTGACCGAAGTCAACTCAAATGGTTTTCAAGCAAAAATTCATATTTTTCTCAGTTTTTAACATAAAAGCTTTTCGGAATCACGCCCGGACTGCGCATGCAAATCAAGGAGGACAAAAATGAGGGTTTTAAGGCCTCGGAACACAGAATTTGATTTTAAAACATGAGATAACCGATCGGTTCATCACACTCATGCACTCAGTGACACCGGATTTTGAGAATGTATTTTATGTCAGTAATTGTGAGATTTTCTATGGAATTCAAATATTATGTTTTCAGTATTTAAAAGAAATGGTGTTTCGTTGAGAGTTATCGGCTTGTCTAGCATTGAGATAGGCGTCATCACGACTTGTGAGATTTTGGGTCGTGACACCATTCCAGGAAAAACATTGTAGAAAGTAACAAACTAAGAAAGCAAAAAGTCAAAGTAGAAATAGTACTATGTCTTGCAAATTTAAAATGCAAAAATTCCAGATGACATTTTCAACAATCGATGATACGATGCGTGTAATTTCCTTTGATTCATCTTCATGATTGCTTAACCATTCCATAATGGCCCAAATTCCAGCCTGAACTTTAGAAATTAAAGCAGAAACTAAGACAAATTAAAATTAAAATTAACCTGTGCATTATATTGGTAATAGCGCTTGCAAAGTTTAAACTAATAGTTGAGAAATTAGTCCAATAGAGAAAAATATCAAATCAAAGTTTAATATTACAAGTAGTTTAATGAATTTGAATTATTGAAAGCTGTAAATGTTGTATAGCAATAGAGTGGTGTTTAACATTTTGTGATGTCTAAAGATAAATAAAATAAAGGGCATCCCGGTGCACAAAACATCCCGCATGAGTTTGCTTTGCAGCCAAAGCTGGTGAGTCTATGACAGAATGCTATCGAAGCTTAGCATCGCCAAAACTAGCAGTCAGGCTGTTGAACAACAACCAAGGCATTGTCGATTTGGGAGGGATGAAAGTGTGAGCTTCTTGTTTGTTTTGTTGTTACACAGAAGACGGAGCAAGAATAGCAGCAAAATTATCTACGCATGTAGAGCTAACTACAACTACAGCTGCATCTAATTGCAAATTCATCCACCTGCACTTATTTTTCTTGCATCCCATGTGCATCAACTTGTTGCGCCTCACCACTGGCAGCCACTGAGGTAGGTATAAAGACCGAAGAATTTGAATTTTCTGCATTACAGTTGAAGTTGCACCACCATCTACTCTTTCTTCATTGTTATTTAAAGTGAATACACATGCAGCCTCACCTTCAAATGCATCGATAGGCTGATTCTTAGTGCGTGTGAATTCCATCAGCCTGCATCACAATTATAACTCTATGCAGCTGGGCTGATTGTGAAAGATATATAAAAACTTGAAAAAGCTGAGATATAAGGTAACTTTCATATAGTACAGAGGTTGCCCACCTTTTGTTTCAGTTACTTCTTGCTATCCTCCAAATCCACTTCCTACAGCACTATTCTCAGCATTGCGGAGAGTCAGCAATCCCATGTATACATGTTTCTGGACTTGAGGAGTAACATATGATATGCAAACAACTCAAGCCATGCCCAAAAAAGAAAAGAAAAAGTATACAATAACAACAATTTGAAAGAACAAATGCTGGAGTACATTTACCCACAAAATGAAGAAAAGAAGAACGGAAATAGCTGGGAGAATGTATTAGATGCATTAATTGGATGTATTCCTTACATGCATTCTGCAAAAGATAATTACACTGGTCACATATAATGAATGAAATGAAGGAGGTAATAAGTTCGTATATACTCACATATTTTCTCTGTGTAAAAGTGCTCAAGACTTGTGAACAAGGACCTGAATCCTGTCTTTTCCCGCCGTCTCTTCAACATATTTCTTAATCTCCAAAGCAGAATCTTCCAGTTGAGGGCTCCATGGGAGTTCGATAACTTTTAATGAACAAATATCCCCGAAACTAGGCGGAATCTCCTCAAGCTTACGACAGTCCCGCAGTCGTAATATCTCAAGCACAGGAAAGGATTCCTCTCTAACCTCCCACTTAGCAAGATTCACTCGCTGCAATGTCAAACATTTGAGTTTCTGGAAGGTGTCTTCCTCCCCCATGTTCCATCCTTCCCCATGGATGATTGCGTCTTCAAGGTACAGATCTTCAAGCTTGGGCAGTTTCGCTATTGTTGATAGTGAATCTGATGTCATCGGAAACTGACGCAACGACAATTTTTTTAAACTCGAAGGGAAGTGAAAATTCCACAGTCGATTTTCAAACTCTAAGGGTGCGCTATCACTTGAATTTGAACTTTGAAAAGTTACTACGATTATTTCTACTTCATTTAGGAAGTCCAATTTCGGGAACCAATATCCCTCTGTTGAACAATCCCATGATTCCTTGAGAAAAAATCCAAGCTCTTGAAGATTGGGAAACCTTTTGAAAATATCATGTGTGTCTTTCGAATAGGAAAGCTCGAGTAGCTCTAATGTTCTCAAGTTCTCTAACTTTGGGTCCTCTGCTGTCAATATTGGTTCATCTGTATCCAAATCAATGAAGGAACCGGCATATACGTTCAGCACTCGTAATTTTGAAAGACTCCAAATAGTCGGTAGTAGTACCATGGATTGATTACCATTATCGAGAGACAGAGTTTCAAGATTCCAGAGGTTTGATAAAGACAAAGGCAGAGATTTAACTTCTGTCTGAATGTTTAAGAACCTCAAATGAACCAACATGCATATTTCATTCAGCAAAGAATCTTTCACCTTGATAAAGGAGCGATCCAGGATCAACACTTTAAGAAGCCTCAAGTGTCTTAGGTGACATACATCATAAAGATAGTTGTCCAGCTCGTGTCCATTTATCTTCAAAGAATAGAGGTGCTTACCAGAATGCCTTTTCGCTTTTGAATCGAACAAGACAAAATTGTTATGCCCAAAGTGCTCCTTATCAAAATCATTTCTCATGTGACGTGGCATCAGATCTGAAGAAGATGATGATGGAGCACTTGAACTTATGAAGTCGAACAACTTTTCCTCTCTTGCTTTTATCAAACAAAAGTCATGCACAAGATCATGAATTTGGCAAGTCCGGTCTTTACCTATCTCCTTGAAAGAAATTACCAAGCTACTGGAAGTTAAATTATCCAGATAAACCTCCATCACTTCTTCCACACTCTTCATATCTGTCTGTTCCACAAATCCTTCGGCACGCCATACAATTTTCAAAACATCGGCTCCAATTAATTCGTCCTTTGGATAACTTGCAAGGTAAAGTAAGCATGGCTTTAGATGATCAGGCAAATGGTCATAACTTAATTCTATAACCCTCATCACTTCCACTTTCTTGTTCAAAATGAAGGACTTCAAATTATTTTGAACTTCAAGCCACACACTCTTTTTCTTTTCCTTCCCTGCAATGACTCCAGCAATCAAATCAACCACCAAAGGAAGCCCTTTACAGTTTTGGACTATCTCTTCTCCAACAACCACTAGTTCATCAGGGCAATGTTCTTTTCCAAAGACCTTTTTCTCTAATAACTCCCAACTTTCTTCCTGTGTTAGCAATCGAAGGTCAAGAGGATCACTATGGCGTTGTGCATACAAAGCCACTTTCTTTTCTCGAGTCGTCAAAATAATTCGACTTCCTTTCTCACATTCAGGAAAAGGTCTTGTCAACTCATCCCATGCTGCAGTGTCCCACAAATCATCTAAGAATATAAGGTACCTCTTTCCAAACAGATGTTTCCGTAGCTCATTAGCAACATCAATATTCTCACCGAATTTCGAAGTTGAGCCAGCAACTTCATTAAAAAGTTTTTTCAGCAACTCCATCTCGTCATACTTTTGATCGACTGTACACCGTGCACGGATGTCAAAATGACCATAAATTGACTTATCATTATACACTTTATACGCCAAAGTAGTTTTACCGGAACCCGGCATACCAGTGATCGAAATGACATCTAGCATTTTTGGTCCACTGGTGAGATTCCTAATTATCCAATTTGTCTCCTCTTCAAAACCTACGATTATTTGCTCAGCTGATGATGACTTGCTTTCAAGTGGCTTATTGGGAGAGTTTACAACAATGAGGCTCTTGTTTTTGGGAATCTTCTCAAGTAAGATCTCTTTTTTGATAAGCTTGATCTTTTCTATGGCAAGGGGAAGTGAGAAAATAAGATGTAAGAGACCATTATCTCTTACAATAATTGAATCAATGACATCTTTTGCCTCATATGCTAGATCTAAAACACGTGCCCAAAGATCTTTATACAATTCTTGTTCAACATTCATGAAGATAGATCTTATGAATTCTAGATCGTCTTTCACCAGTCTGATTTCTTCCTTTATCAAAGCAATTAAATAAGCATTGGAATTGAGCAAATCATTTAGGTGTCTAAGTAGAAGATGCATGAATAGGGGTGCATCACTCAAGGGAAAACAGAGTTGAGATGAGTCTGGGGCTTTCAGGTAAACATCTTTGAGTTCTCTCTTGAGGGGTTCAATATTTTCGAGCAAGCCTAGAGTTGCACTGTTTGTTTTATTGGTACTCTCTGCATTCTTTGATTTCACTTCTAAGTCGCGAGCAATAGCTGATACGTCCCTGGTGAGTTCTCCAACACGTGCTAGGAATTTAAACAACTGGCCATTGTGAATAAAATCCTTAGGCACATCAGTGAAAATGATTAATAGGAACTCTATCATGATATGAATGTTTCGAGCCCCTGGAGTGCTAGCGGTAATAACATTTACCATGTGCTCTTGTAGATGAATCAGATATTCTCTAAGAATGTCCGGAGAGGTTTCTAGGAGCTGCTCAATGAAGCGTCCAACTTCTGCTGATGTTGAAGCTTTCAAATTTGTAAAACATATGTGCATAACCTCCAGTTCAATTGGAATAATCTTCAAGAGTAGTTGTGCTAGTTTGAAGAGTCGAGAATCTCCAGGAAACTCATATTCCCAATGGAAGCGTCCTACTCTCTGAGCCATTAGTTGAAACTGAGGTAGGACATGTTCAACAATCTCATGCCCAACACAACCATTCACTATCAACCCGTGGAAATCTCGTATGTTGGCACATACATTCCGAAGAATCTCATATTCAGTCACGAATGGAGAATATTGTTCAGCACAATACTTGGAAAGATGATGGAGATTCTGGAGGAGGAAGTCCAATTGCTCCCCAGTCATGGAGGCACTTGATTTAGCAAGATAACATGAGCCGATACAATATTCCATATTCTCCACGAGGCGAGGATGGATATGACGCATGCCTTGTTTGAACGGCATGTAGTAGCCAAAATTGTATAAAATTGTTTCAACCTCTTGTCTTATGCGAGTCATTATATAATTAAAATTTTCCATATTTGAATAAGAAAGCTGGACATATGTACAAAATAGTGCCAGCTTTAATTTTAGCTTTCCAATTAGATCCACGTGAAATGCCTTTTCATTTTCTTCATTCTTTAAGCTCTCTATGAAATCCAGAATATTGACAATGTCCTTGCGAAGAGCAGAAAGGGACACCTGCTAAAAGACCAAACATTATATCAAACTCTCACAAAGAAAGACGCTTAATTCTCTATATATTATGGTTAAGTGATTTAATAACGTAAGAAAATATAATAAGTGAAAGAAATTTATGTGCAGACACATGGCATGTATCTCTTCTTTAGTATATAAAGTCACAATTAATCGAAAAGAAATAAAATAAAACAAACAAGAAACTAAATTTATCCGATTCATGATATTAAGAGAAAAAATAGTGTGTATATATATATATATATATCATGGATTTCAATTTCTTCAACCATAGGTTCATTTGCCTCAATTTTTTAGTTTCAGGTTCATTTGCTGAAGTATGAGGTGAAGAAACGGAAGGTAGAGGTGATTAAGTGAAGGAGAGAATAATCACAACATACGTCACGGATTTCAGTGTCTTCAACCGTATGTTCCTTTGCTGAATTGGGAGGAGCAAGTTTCTGCAAATAAACACCAATAGTATCAAGGTACAACCCCGAATGTCCGTGAAATCCAACAATAGCTACACCTTCTTTCATTACAAGTGAAAATGGGTATCCACCAGCATCAGACCCAAATGGTCCATAGTTATTTGCATTAGTTATAAAACATAGAGATTTTATAACCGTATGGCCATAATAACATCCAAATGTCCCCTTGATGCCTGTTAAATATTCCGATGGAGTTGCCTCAATAACAACCTGAGAGTATTGCAAATCACATATCGATTAAATAAGTAGTAGAATCAGGAATTTTAACAAGAATTCAGAAAAGTGCAAGAAGGTCATATTAGGATTCGAAATCTGTGACCTAAAGTAAATTTGGACACTTAGTTGAATCCTCTCACTGCAAAGGAAGCAGCAAACTTAAATATGAATCAACTGGTTCGTTCATATCTTCGACTTGAAAGATACCGATATAACTATAGATTTTACGCTGTGTACACTAGAATTGCGAAAAGTTGCGACACTATCATATTAAGTTGACCAACAACGTGATTTTGCATATCAAGAGCCTGGTAAGGTAACTTTAAGGCCGTAAGATAAAAAAATTACATGCTATAGCTGGTTGAATTGTCTTGATAATTAATTATTATTTTACATAATTTAAGCTCATTAATAGGACATGACACAAATTTAACTCGAGAAGAATGTTCCAATCATGAGAAATAAATATGTCGACCATAATATTTTTGGACTTACCTTATTTATTCGACCTCCATTCCCACCAAACTTTGGTGAGTCTTTGGTAGTACCTTGTTCGGTAATGGTTCTGAACATTATGGAGTCTATAACGTATCCATGAGCAATCAATATTTCTTTAATGGGACTTTTAAACTTGTAATTCCATTCCGATCCACCAGTATAGTCTCCCCATGGCCCCACCAATATCGAACCCGCTTGATCATAACTCACTTGATTTCCCTTCACATACATAGCAAATTAGATCAATGGCTCCATTATCAAATTTTATCCCTATATTGATAGTATTATTTCGCATCGAACCAAAAAAAAACAGAATGAATATAGACACAGTCATGTAAAAGAAGAGATGGCAAGGTACCATTGTTGGCAATTCACTTTCACTTTTTGTTATTTTCCCTTTCTTATGATCAGTTGATCCTGATCCCTATAAAAGGTGTAAGATGAGTAACATAAATTAATTGTTTAATGAAAGGGATCTCAATTAAGGAAGTAGAGGCAACTAAGAAAACAAGCGAATAATCACAACATACGTCATGGATTTCAATTATTTCTTCAACCATAGGTTCATTTGGCTCAATTGTTTCATCTTCAGGTTCCTGTGCCGAAGCAGGGGGAGTAGATTTCTGCAAATAAACACCAATAGCATCAAGGTACACTTCACAACGCCCGTGAAATCCCACAATAGCTCCACCTTCTTTTATCACAACTGAAAATGGTGTTCCACCATCCTCAGACCCAAATGGTCCATAATTCTTTGCATTAGTTGTAAAACATAGAGATTTTACAACCAAATGGCCATTGAAACGTCCTAATGTACCCTTGATGCCCGTTAAATGTTCCAGTGGTGTTTGCTCAAAAATAACCTGAGATTATTGCAAATCACATATCGGATAAATAAGTAGCTGAGTCGGGAATTTTGAAAAGAATTAGAAAAGTGCAAGAATGTCATATTAGGATTCAAAATCGGTGACCTAAAGCAAATTTGGACACTTAGTTGAAAACCTCTCAATGCAAAGGAACCGGCAAACTTAAATATGAAGCAACGAGTGAATTCATATCTTTGACTTGAAAGATGTTTATGTAACTAGAGATTTTACGTTGTGTATACTAAAAATGCAAAAAAGTTGCTTTACTATCATATTAAGTTGACCAATAACGTGATTTTCTCATATCAAGAGTCCGGTATGGTAACTGGAAGACTGTAAAATAAATGAATTACCTGCTATAGCTGGTTCAAATGTCTTGATAATTAATTATTATTTTAACATAATTTAAGCTCATTGCTATGACATGACACAAATTTAACTTGAGAAGAATGTTCCAATCATTAGAAATAAATATGTCGACCATAATATTTTTGGACTTACCTTATTTATTTCACCTCCATTCCCACCAAACTTTGGTGAGTCTTTGGTAGTACCTTGTTCGGTAACGGTTCTGAACATGATGGAGTCTATAACATCTCCGTGAGCAATCAATATTTCTTTAATGGGATTTTTCAACTTGTAATTCCATTCTGATCCACCAGTATTGCCTCCCCATGGCCCCACCAATATTGAGTCTGCTAGATCGTAACTCAATTGATTTTCCTTCACATACATAACAAATTAAATCAATGGCTCCATTATCAAATTTTATCCCTATATTGGAAGTATTATTTTGCAGCGAACCAAAAAAAAAAAAAAAAAAACAGAATGAATATAGATACAGTCATGTAAAAGAAGAGATGGCAAGGTACAATTGTTGGCTAATTACATTCATTTTTTGTTATTTTCCTTTTCTTATGATCAGCTGATCCTGATCCCTATATAAGGTGTCAGATGACTAACATAAATTAATTGTTTAATGAAAGGGATCTGGGCTTGTGTGCAAGTGTGCAGTGAAGAAAATTAAGGAAGTAGAGGCGACTAAGCAAACAAGCGAATAATCACAACATACGTCATGGATTTCAATTATTTCTTCAACCTTAGGTTCATTTGGCTCAATTGTTTCATCTTCAGGTTCCTGTGCCGAAGCAGGGGGAGTAAGTTTCTGCAAATAAACACCAATAGCATCAAGGTACGCTCCAGAACGCCCGTGAAATCCCACAATAGCTCCACCTTCTTTCATCACAACTGAAAATGGTGTTCCACCATCCTCAGACCCAAATGGTCCATAATTCTTTACATTAGTTATAAAACATAGAGAGTTTATAACCAAATGGATACCACAACGTCTAAATGTCCCCTTGATGCCTGTTAAATATTCGAATGGAATTGCCTCAATAGCAACCTGAGATTATTGCAAATCACATATCAGTTAGATAAGTAACAAAGTCAGGAATTCTGACAAGAATTCAGAGAAAGGTGCAAGAATGTCACATTAGGATTCGAAATCAACAAGTGCATTCATATCCTTAACTTGAAAGATGCTTATAACAACAACAACAACCTAGCATAATTCTATAAAGTAGGGTCTGCGCAGGGTGATTTGTACGCAGACACTATTTCCGAAAGACCCCGGCTAACTTGAAAGATGCTTATATAACTATAAGATTATGCTGTGTACACTGAAAATGATGCAAAAAGTTGCCACACTACCATGTTAAGTTGATCTATCAGGTAACTTGAAGGTTGTAAGCTAAATGAATAATCTGTTATAACTGGTTTAATCTTGACAATTAACTTGAGAAGAATGTTCCAATCATGAGAAATAAATATGTCAACCATAATATTTTTAGACTTACCTTGTCTCTTCGACCTCCATCCCCACCAAACATTGGTGAGTCTTTGGTAGTACCTTTTTCGTTAATGGTTCTGAAAATGATGGAGTGTATAAAATCTCCATGAGCAATCAATATTTCTTTAATGGGACTGTTCAGCTTGTAATTCCATTCAGATCCACCAGTGTTACCCCCCCATGGCTCCACCAATATTGAGTTCGTTTGATCATAACTCACTTGATTTTCCTTCACATACATAGCAAATTAAATCAATGGCTCCATTATCAAATTTTTATCCCTATATTGGTAGCATTATTTCGCAGTGAAAAGGAAATAGAATGAATATAGATACAGTCATGTAAAGGAAGAGAAGACAAGGTATCATTGTTGGCGATTTGCCTTGATTTTTTGGTTATTTTCCCTTTCTCTTATTATTTCTTATGATCACCTGATTCTGATCATACCTTTCTCTTATTATTTCTTAAGTCATTAGTTTATGAAAAGATTTGTGCTTGTGTGCAAGTATGAGGTGAAGAATGTGAAGTAGAGGTGCTTAAGCAAACAAGGGAATAATCACAACATACGTCATGGATTTCAATTTCTTCAACCACACGTTCATTTGGCTCCATGTTTTTAGCTTCAGGTTCCTTTGATAAAGGAGTAAGTTTCTGCAAATAAACACCAATAGCATTAAGGTATGCTCCACATCGCCCGTGAAATCCCACAATAGCTCCACCTTCTTTCATCACAAGCGAAAATGGGGTTCCAGCCTCAGACCCAAATGGTCCATAATTCTTTGCATTAGTTATAAAATATAGAGATTTTACAACCGAATAGCTACCACAATATCCAAATGTCCCCTTGATGCATGTTAAATATTCCAATGGAGTTACCTCAATAACAACCTGAGATTATTGCAATCGGTTAAATAAGTAGCAGAGTCGGTAACTTTGACAAGAATTCAGAAAAGTACAAGAATGTCACAGTAGGATCCAAAATCTGTGACCTAAAGCAAATTTGGACAATTTGCCACTTCCTTTGCATTGAGAGGATTTAACTAACTTAGATATATAAGTAAATTATATTTACCCTTTCTACATAATTTTTAGGTGAAGGGGATTCAATTAAACCCGTAGCTTTGCCGGCCTTGTGTTAAACCCAGTTAGGATCTATAGAAAGATGCTTATGTAATTATAGAGTTTATGTTGTGTACACTGAAAATGCAAAATGATGCTAAACTATCATGTTAAGCTAACATATAACATGTCACTTTTCATATCTTGATAATTAAATTTTTATTACAAAATTTAAGCTCATTCCTACGACATGTGACAAGTTAACTTGAGAAGAACGTGCCAATCATGAGAAATAAATATGTTGAGCACAATTTTTTTGGACCTACCTTGTCTCTTCGACCTCCATCCCCACCAAACTCTGGTGAGTCTTTGGTAGTACCTTGTTCAGTAACGGTCCTGAACATGATGGATTCGATACAATCTCCATGAGCAATCAATATTTCTTTAATGGGACTTTCCAGCTTGTAATACCATTCTAATCCACCAGTGCCTCCCCATGGCTCCACCAATATTGAATCCGCTTGATCGTAACTTACTTGATTTCCCTTCACCTATATAACAAATCAATGACTCCATTATCAAATCTTATCCGAATATTGGTAGTATTATTTTGCAGTGAAAAAGAAAATAGAATGAATATAGTTATATAGGCACGATCATGTAAAAGAAGAGAAGGCAAGATACCATTGTTGGCGATTTGCTTTGATTTCTTTTCAATTCTTTCTCTTAATATTTCTTATGATCATTCTATTTAAGTTATTCATTCTATATAAGGAGTTAAAAGAGTAACATAAGTCATAAGTTTTACGAAAGAGATCTGTGCTTGTGTGTAAGTATGAGGTGAAGTAAAGTAAGTGGAGGTGATTAAGCAACAGAGAAAATAATCACAACATATGGGAGAACTAGTTAATTTATCTTCGCGCTGTCACAAAAAATTACCAGTGAGTTATTAAATGATCTTTTTATAAATTAGTCCATAAATAAAAAGGAGAAATATGACAAACACTTAAACTAATTTTTCATATGTCTAACTTTTAATTTTTTAAGTCTTTCATTTTCCTCCTTTTTGTTTCCTTTTTAATTCCAAAATATGATGGAAAAAATAAAAAGGATTATGAGAACCTAATTTTTGACCATACATGAATTTTTCACGGGAAAATGCATAAGTACCCCCTCAACCTATGACCGAAGTTTCAACTACACACCTTTTCTTTTCGAAGATTTTATTATCCCATGAACTATATAAAGTGAAATTATTGCCACCCTAAATGCTGACGTGACAACGTGTGTGTGTTTCACTCCTCAGATAGAGTGAGAAGCCCAAAAATTTACTTACTAGTCATTTTCTTTTTCTTAATCTTTTGTCTTTTACACTTTTTTTCTTCTTCATGAGATAACAACCACTATTAAAAGGCATTGAGCTCCATTTACCACACCATTTCTTTAAAAATTCATTTTTTAATTTTAGATTAGTATTTTTTAATTTTAGATTTGTCATGTTGCTACTAGTCATGAAAGAATGGAATAATAGATCAAAATAAATAACATACAAGATTGACAGAACCTATTATTAGTTGATTGATATAATTATTTTATTTGATTGATCTTGGCTTATATTGGTAATTGTTTTTTTTTTTTTGGTAAGTAAACAATCTTATTTACCAAATGAGCATTTACAAAGTGTAAAAAACAAAACAAGCTCTACCTCTAACCGCCAGAACTTCCCATAACTTCCAACAGACTCGTTAACACTTCTCCTTAAGGATAGAAATTAAATAGGATTTTTACATTCCTATACCATATAGGAAACCTTATTACCCTCAATGTTTAAGGTCTGATATAATTACATTTAGTATACCAAATTATCAATTCTATGCCATAGTGTATTTTAAGGGTACAATTAATGCAGCGTATATCCCTCCTTAATTCAAGGTACCGTATATCCCACCCCTCCCACGTTTCTCTCTCCCAACCCTCACCCTCACTCACGTTTATGTACTGTTATTAAACATAAAAACCTATGATCATGAAAACATAGATTTGCAGCATATTGATGTAGAAACACTTAAATCTTACATTGCAATTAGGAGCAACAATCATTCAAGTTCCTGGTTACACTCATTGTTATTGAAAATCTTGTGAACTGCAGTCAATTACCAATACTTTATTTCCCAAAAAAATTAAGACAAAGAAGCTCATGTTTTAACTTCAATCAGCACCTGATTTGAATTTTCTGTTACTCTACATCGAGCTTTAACATGCATTCACCTGCCGCTAGCATTCAAATATATTCTGCCTGTTGACATGAAAGCATAAATCTAACCTGCTAGTGCGTGGGATTGAGGTTCGATTGTAGCCTGTAGCTTAATTGCTATTTTCGACATTGGTACAATTTCTCATTCAATTGTAGCTTAATTGGTATTTTGGACGTAATTGTATTTTTTGCAGAAGATTTGTAGAAGTTTTAGTCGCTTTTGATTTGTGAAAACAGAAAACAAAGCATCTACAATCAGAATACAAATAATCTACAATTTATCTACAAAATATCTACAAACTAGGTACATTGAATTTTAATATCCCAATTCCCATTCAATTGTAGCTTAATTGGTATTTTCGACATAATTGTGTTTTTTGCAGAAGATTTTGTAAAAGTTTTAGTTGTTTTGGATTTGTGAAAACAGAAAACAATACATCTACAATCATAATACAAATAATCTACAATTCATCTACAAAATATCTACAAACTGGGTATATTGAATTTTAATATCCCAATTCCCATTCGATTGTAGTTTAATTGGAATTTTTGACTAGACATAATCTTAAAGATTCATTATAGTATTCTCAATTATAGATTGAGGGAAATATGTTAGAAAGCTACATCAACTACTTTGTCGAGTTTGAAAAATACTACCTAGTGACATCAACTATTAGATTTGCCAACTTATTATTTTTCATCGAAAAAAAATATAATGATATTTTCAGCTACAAGTTTAAGTGAGACTATAAGCAGAAAGATTAGGTGAAAATAGGAACAATCTAAATAAGGAATTTTAATGCTACAATGATTCCTTATTTAATGAAATATCTGGGAGAATATTTACTTCCATGATTGTAGCGCACCTAAATAGGAATATCTAGAAGAATATTTAGTTCCAGATTTGTAGCACGCCTAATTAGGAAGGAATCAGCTCCTAATAATTGGTATTTAATGAATGGTATAATATTTATAGAATAACTGTGAATATGGCGGATAAATATGAAACTATGCACATTTTTGATAATAAGGTTTCATATATGGTATAGAAAGGTAAAAGTCCCAAATTAAATTCATCAAGTTTCTTAGCAAATCCGGGCTTCAAAATTCCTCAGCAGCGCACTTCTTGGGTGATTGCTCTTCAATTGGAATTGCCAGGTTAAAGGTTAAACAGGAGAAGGAATTTAAGTGTGAAAGTTAGTTAAACTACTCAATGACTCTGTAAACGCTGGCTATTTTTCAATTACCAATCCTAAAATTGGCTAGTCCGTGCTATTTTCACTATTATTTGCGAATAGTTCATATAAGTGTTCGGTTGAGCCCAAACAAAGTTGAATAAAAACAATCTAACAAAATTGCTCCTTTTTACTTGACCCCCCCCCCCCCCCTTTCCCCATATAACTCATTCCATTGTTTTAGCTCAGTCGCATAGAATTCTTGAAGCTTTTCTTTAGTGACAACGGGGATAAAAGAAATATTTGGAGTATTAGTTATATTTTTGTCCGGATATTATGAGGAAAATCCGAAAAAATCAAACCAAACCAAAACACTGGAAAAAAGAGATAAAAAATCCGGCTTTTACTGATTTGATTTGGTTTATAGATTTAAAACCTCGACATAATTGATTGAATTTAGTAATTAATAAACCTACCAACCCGAACTATATACACACCTAATTCGAACATTTTATCAATTAGCAGACAACAATAGAAGTTAACCAATTTAATAAAAGAAGTTTTACCTTTCACGAATATATAGGAACGATATTCAATTTTTTAGTTATTTAATTTAATCGATGCTTCAATTAGTTCTTTAGCTTAATATTTTATTAGGGTTTAGACCGTTAAGTGAAAAGTTTATTAGAAATAGTTATTATTGACCAACGTAGGTATAAAAAACACATAAAAATTTATCAGGAGAAAGAAGTAAGAATACAAAGAAACCGAAGAAAGAAGCATAAAAAGTCATTGCAGAAAACATTTTTGCAGATGTAGCCATGCATAAAAAGTAGTAAGTGTTTTTTGAATAATAGTTCCCCATCCGAGTACAAAAATTAAACACACTTTTCTTAAGTTATTATAGACTAAATTCGGAAACAACTTCTCTACTCCCTCGGGTAGGGGCAAGGTCTGTGTACACATTACCCTCCCCAGACGCCATTAGTGGGATTTTACTGGGTTGTTGTTGTTGTATAGACTAAATATGATTAACCTTTTTAGTTGATGAAAATCTGAGTCATGGATTTAGAATGAGGCAACAGAAAGTATGGAATGGTTGCTTCTTTCTGTTCTTGTGTATGTATGAATTCTCCCCTTTTCAACAAACCAACAGTTTGAGATAAGAAGTTTAAAATTCGTGTTGAGGAGAAGAGATAAGTATATAAGGGCACCAAAATTATGAGTTTAGGGAGAAAAATTAATGACAAAAATTGCTGGGTATTAAATTTGAAATAAGTTTCTTAAATATATTTCCGAGTAGTTTCTTTAAGTTATGTAAACGTGAGCAATTTTTATATATTTGATAAATTGTGATGGTTAGATTTAAACAGAATTGTGAAATAAAAAGAGATAAAGGGAACTCACATTTGGAGGTGCAGGTCTTATAGTTTCTGCTATTTACGTGGGTGGTGATATTTGGCGAAAACTCCATATTTCGCATGTAATTTGTCTTGCATTATGGCTCAATCTTGTTAATTTTGGTGTGAATATTTGTGACTTGAACTCAGTAATGGTATTTATATGTGTAGGAATCCATTCGAAGTGATTTGAAAAGTTTGCGTGCAAATTGGAGTAAAAACGGAAGAATTTTGAAGAAGTATAAGTTGGGTGACCGGGTTCGCGCCAGACATCAACCAAAATGCCGTTGACAGCAGGCTAAAAAGTTCACTGTTCAGCACCACGGCAAGCACAAAGCTTGACGCCCAAGGGCGGATTTCGTCCTAATTCAGTTGGGACTTGGTGATTTCAACCCTGCACGTTCCAATATGTATAAAAGGGTTTTAAACCTGTTTTGGAGGGGGGGGGGGGGGATCAAACATACTTTGGACGAAGGGAGAGCGTTGAGCTGCCGTTGAGGCCGGAATTCATCAGATTGTGTCTTTTTTCCATCAAACTTAGTAATCTTTAAGTTTTTTTGCAGATGATTTGTTGTTTTGCTACCATGACTATGTGTGACAAGAGTGGGCTCTAGTGGTGAACACCATCCACTTCAAACCAAGTAGTTGTGAGTTCGAGAAACCAGAAGACAAAGGCGGGGAGTTCTTGGAGGGAGGGAGACGTGGTTCTATCGTAAACAACC